TGGGGGATTCTGGGAGTTGTAGTTCCACCTATCTTAAGGTCACCACGGTTGAGGAACACTGGTTTCTCAAGAGTTACATTGCCTGAAAGGTAATGGCTGGCACCAAATGAGTAGCGAGCCCCTTTGACTCAAGGGTCTCACCCTCTGCTGTTCTAATCCATTGACAAAGAAGAGGCTTTAGGACGTCGCAGACCAGTTGAGTTAATGTCGGGTCGTATTAAGCCGTGGCTTATTTTAAGCACGAGAGCCAGTTTGGTGTCGTGGTTACGGCACCGGGCTAGAAACCGGGAGACAGAGAGTTTGAGTGCTGCCGCGGGCACAGAAGCCAGCTGGGTGACCGTGGGCCGGCCCCTCTCTCTCAGCCCTATCAAAGAGGCAATGGCACACCACTTCTGAAAAAACCCCGCTGAGAAAACTGCAGGGACTTGTCCAGGCAGTCTCCGAGAATTGGACGCGATTGAACAGATGGGGGAAAAAAATTAAGCATAGTTTGTTGAACAAGTAACAGTAGCCTGGTTCAATTAAAACAACTTGATTGACAAGCCAGGCCCAAACGATCGATGCCTTGTTTTTGGAGGTACTGTACTTCAGCTGCCCTGCCCTCCCCTGATTTCAAAGCTAGGAGAATGACTTCTTCATTTGCATTTCCCCTTGTGATACTTTGCAAAACAAGGGGGTTCGCCTTAGGTTCAGCGAAGAATGGGTAGACCGAAAAGCGACTGAGGGAAGAAGGGTCTCGGTGTTGCCCTACGGCCTGATTAGGAACTGTAATTGCAAGAAAGTTACTTGATGTTTTTCCGGCCACATATAATTATTACTATTTTGCATGTAGATTCACCTCATCGCCAGTTGTGCTCACACATGAATGGGCTGACTCGTGAGGAAAGTGTTCTTATGCACGTGGGGCATGTACAGAGCTTTTACTTGTAAGTGAAAGTGACTTAGCTGTAACACGGATCATCCCGGAGTGTACTTCATTCAGATGCCAGGTTGATGCCATGTCCTTAATCCTGAACTTGGGTTAACAAAACACGATCATTACGTTCACATAATCTGCGATGCCTAAATGAGTAAATCGTAGTATCGCATAACACAGTGTCCAGCAGTGCTTGGGTTCCCACAACACATTGAGCCACAAACTATCCAAACCAATTTATTTGTGCAAATCCAGTTGGATGCTTTGCTTCTGAAAGCGAGCTTGCTCACTAGGGACTAGATTGAGTGCAGGTCTTGTGAGTCCCCGTGGGAAGGCTTTCATTAAACTGGAGATCCCTCCCCCTAACCCCCTAGTTGTTCTTTAGTTCAATCTTTACTGGTGTATTTGTACAAAGAGCACAATTTGGGCTTAACGTTTTGGTGCAAATTTTAATTTAAAAGAACCTTTAAAAATGGTGGAAAAGCTTTTTTTTTTTTTTTTGGTGCCTTTGAATCATTCTTGACTCTTGGCAACATTTTTGGAAGTGGTGGCTATTGCCTTCTTTCTAGGGCTGAGAGAAACTGACTGTTCCCTGAAAAACGTGAAATCTCCCGTGCTTCTAAAGAAGGGTATTTAGTCCTTGCATTTTTCTGAACAGTTGTTTAATGCTCAACAATTGCATAACATTTGAGAAAGAAAGTGCCTTAGGCCTTTGCTAACCCAAACCCAGCTTCCTAAAGCCTTAGGCAGAGAAAA